TTCAGAAAAAAGTGTGACAACCCCTGAGTTATAGTCTAGCCCTGCTTGCCTCCCTCCCCACAGTCCTGCTCTTCCTACGCTGCAGAGCTGTCCCAGGGCCTCCGCACAGGTTGTTCATCAGTCTGTTCATTAACTGCCTTTCTCTAGAATGTATGTGCTGTGACAGCTTAATGTCTTGTTTGCTGCTATATATTAAGATTTCAGCTTAAGCAGAGGTCACTCTTTACACCCAGAGCTCCTCAATACCAGGGCTGTCGATACCCCAGTCTGCCCATCACTGTCCATTTTCACCATTACCATCTTGGTGTCAGATCCCAGAATCTCTGGCCTGACTCCTGATATGATGGCCTCACGCATGCCTCCTCTCCAACCTATTCCTTTTTTTTTTTTAGACAGAGTTTCGTTCTTGTTACCCAGGCTGAGTGCAATGGCATTCCAGTGACCTTGGCTTGCAGTGATCTTGCTTACTACAACCTCTGCCTCCCGGGTTCAAGTGATTCTCCTGCCTCAGCCTCCCAAGTAGCTGGTATTACAGGCGTCCACCATCACACCCAGCTAATTTGCTGTATTTTTAGTAGAGATGGGGTTTCACTATGTTGGCCAGGCTGGTCTCAAACTCCTGACCTCAGGTGATCCACCTGTCTCAGCCTCCCAAAGTGCTGGGATTACAGGCATGAGCCACTGCACCCAGCCTTTTTTTTTTTTGAGACTAGGTCTTGCTCTGTCACCCAGGCTAGACTGCCATGGTGAGATTATAGCTCACTGCAATTTCCAATTCCTGGGCTCATGTGATCCACCCACCTTAGCCTCCCCAAGTAGCTGGGTTTAATTTAACAAGTGCATACCACCATATCCAGCTATTTTTTTTTTCCTAGAGATCAGGTCTCACTATGTTGCCCAGGCTGGTCTCAAATTCTCGGGCTCAAGTGATCCTCCCACCTCAGCCTTCCAAAGTGCAGGGATACAGGCATGAGCCACTGTGCTCAGCCCAATCCATTCCTTCCAATGCAGCTGGAGGAATCTTTTCAAACCAGAAATCTGAGTGCATCACTCATTTGTCTCAGCTCTCGGTGGAAAAAGTCCAAATCCTAACATGTTCTGGAAGGTTTCCACTTAAAGTGCACATCTACTACCTCCCTGGCTCTGCTCACATCCTGCTTCCCCTCCTGCTGCCCTAGATGAGCTTCCGGCCCTTGGCTAAGGCTAACGCCTCCCTCCCTGCCCTGCTCCACCCCCTCTCCTTCCTGAGGACCTTGTTCCTTTCTCATTTTTTCTCTCTCTTGCCCAATCGATATACACTCTATGCTACATTACTTTGCTAAGTGTCTCGCCCAAGTCTATCAATTCCACATCCTGGAACGCCTTCCTCACTTAGCTTCTTCTTTGAGTCCGCTCTGTTGCCCAGGCTGGAGTGCACTGGCGCGATCTCAGCTAACTGCAACCTCCACCTCCTGGGTTCAAGCGATTCTCCTGCCTCAGCCTCCCGAGCAGTTGGGGCTACAGGCATGCTCTACCTTGCCCAGGTAATTTTTGCATTTTTAGTAGAGACAGGGTTTTATCATGTTGGCCAGGCTGGTCTTGAACTCCTGGCCTCAAGTGATCCACCTGCCTCAGCCTCCTCAAGAGCTGGGATCACAAGTGAGAACTACCATGCCCAGCCCCTCACTTAAGCTTCTAAGACATCAATGCTCCTGGTTATCCTCACACTTTCCTAAATGTTTGTTCCTTTTGTGGGATCTTCCTTATCTCTATGGCTTCTGAATGCAGGAATGCCCTATCCTCAGACCTCTTCCTGACCCTGAATGTCAGGATGCCACATCCTTAGACCTCTTCCTGACCCTCGGTGTGGGGATGCCCTGTCCTCAGACCTATTCCTGACCCTCAATGTTGGGAAGTCCCAGGGTGCAGCACTCAGACCTCTTTCTTACCCTCAGTGTCGGGATGCCCCAGGGTGCAGTGCTTAGACCTCTTCTTTACCCTCAGTGTCAGGGTGCTGGGTCCTCAGACCCCTTCCTGACCCTGTGTCTGGATGCCCCATCCTCAGGCCTCTTCCTGATCCTCAGTGTCAGGATGCCCCAGCGTGCAGTGCTCAGACCTCTGCTCTTCTCACTCCACAGTCCCTCCTTAGTGACTTCAGGTGATCCGCCTGTCTCAGCCTCCCAAAGTGCTGAGATTACAGGTATGAGCCACTGCGCCTGGCTAGTAATCCTAGATTTAGAACCCCTGACTCCCAATCACTTCATAATTTTCTCTCTTTTTCCTACAAAAAGAGCTAAGTCTCAAAACATTATACACAGTCCAACAAATAGAAAACATAATCTTACAAAATTCCTGTGAGAAATATCCCAGCACAGAAGCTATAATTTCTTGCCATTTTGATGCTGTTATTAACAAATAGGAAGGTGCCTACTCATGGAAGCTGCTTCAAATCAGATAAAAGAACAATGAGTAGAGGTTACTACACCCACCACTGCGACACAAGGAGAGTAACAGACATCAGAATGCAACCCCGCAGATGCTCCCCGAACATTCCACAGACTGCAGGTAAACCCTTTGATCTGCGTCCTGGACTTAGTACACATGGGTGCAAAATTACTACAGAAGTCTGAGCAGTACATCTGTCTCCTCAAAACAGCACAGAAGCCAGTGTGGAAAATAGCAGAACGCTGTCTGGTGCTAGAGAATAAGGAGGACAGAAGAAAAAAAAAGCCTCTACATGATCTTTGTGTCCCTTAGTATCATACATCTTCTCTCTTTGCTTAGTTAAGGAGGGAAAGAAGGGAGAGAGAAAGGAAGGGAGGGACAAGATCACCTTCTTTCTTCTCTGGAGCAGAGAATAAAGCTATCAATAATAAGAGAAACTAAACCTTAATGAGGGTTCCTTGGTGTCAGGGATTCTTCTTCAGATAGAAACTTTTTTTGGAGACAGGGTCTTGCTCTGTTGCCCAGGCTGGAATGAAGTGGTACGATCACAGCTCACTGCAGCCTCAACCTCCCAGGCTCATGTGATCCTCCCTCCTCAGTCTCCTGAGTAGCTGGGCCTATAGGCATATGCCGCCAGGTCTGGCTAATTTTTGTTTTTATTTTTTTGTAGGGGTGGAGTTCCACTATGTTGCCCAGGTCAATATTAAACTCTTAGGCTCAAGTGATCCTCCTATTTCAGTCTCCCAAAGTGCTGGAATTACAGCCATGAGCCACCATGCCTGGCCTTTTAAGTGCTTCAGATAAATACATTTCATTTTGGGCTGGGCCAGGGATTCATTACACCTGTCATCCTAGTGCCCTGGGAGGATCCAGAAGGATCACATGAGCCTGGGATGTCGAGGCTGCAGTAAGCCATGACCATGTGCTGCCCTCCAGCCTGGGAGACAAACCAAGACACTGTCTCTTAAACAATAAGTAGGCCAGGCGCAGTGGCTCACACCTGTAATCCCAGCACTTAGGGAGGCTGAAGCAAGAGGATCATGAGGTCAGGAGTTCAAGACCAGCCTGGCCAACATAGCAAAACCCTGTCTCTACTAAAAATACAAAAATATTAGCTGGGCAAGGTGGCGCATGCCTGTAGTTCCAGCTACTCAGGAGGCTGAGGCAGGAGAATCGCTTGAACCTGGGAGTCAGAGGTTGCAGTGAGCTGAGATTGCACAACAGCATTCCAGCCAGGGCGACAGTGTGAGACTCCATCTCAAAAATAAATAAATAAATAATCTCCTTTTGTCTCTTCTCTCCTTTGGTACTTAAGACAACCGTCTGAGAGCAGCTATTATCTCTATAGTAGTCTGACTACGAAGGCTCAAAGGGAAGAAGGTGGAATGGAATAATGTCAGGGCAAGACTGGAATCTGAGTCTCCTCCCTCTAAATCCCTTGCTGGTTTTCCCAACACAGGTGGGAGAATGGGGGCTGTGAGACTTTGGAGGGTGTGTCCCCGTGGGGATCACCTGTGGCTGAGATGAACTTGTTGTAGTTCTCATAGACCAGGGTCTGCATGTCGCTGTCTAGAGCCCGGATCTGCCGCACCATGTCCGTCTCACTGTCCATCAGTTGGGCCAGAGGGCACTCTCTACGCAGCTGGAGAAGTTGGGTGGTTAGCGTTTGAGTCAGGAGGCATTCACCCCCCAGCCCTGCCTGCAGCTGATAGGCTTTCAGTGCAAGAAATCTCTGATCCACACCCCCTGCAACCACTGCCAGCTCAGGAATCCCAGGCATCGGGCCCTAAGTGGCCTAGCTCAGGGGTTACTAGGTTCGACCCTGTTTGGTGTTTGCCAGCATTTGAAATCCTGGGGCTCGGCCTAAGCCCAGCCCCGCGCCTGTCAACGCCTGGGCCACGCCCCCAATCCTGGGCCTATCACAACGTCAGCCCAGGAGACCTCAGATGCCGCATCACCTTAGGCCAGTCCAATCCTTCTCACATCCCCTCAGACGCCTGAACTGCTCGTCCTCCTTGGCCGAGGCTCGTCCTCTTAGGAACCCCTGTTCCTCTCAACCTCACAAAAAGTCGGAGGCGTGATCTGGGGATGCAATATATTGGGGGCCTGGTTCCCTTCCCCCCTCGCCTCACCCCTCCTACCACCCGCACACACACCTTGTCCAGGTAAACTTCCGGGTCGAAATGCGCCCCGTTCAGATCAGTCGGGTCCAAGGGGTCGGGACCCGCGGGGCGTCCCGCCGCCTCCCCTTCCGAGAGCCCGTAGTAAAGCTTCAGCATCCCATGCGCCTTTCGCCGACGTTCCGGTGCCTCAGCCTCGGGCCCTTCTGGGGAGTCCCCAGGTCCAGACCCCGGGCTAGACCCGGCGGTGGCTGCCGCCGCCATCGCTCCTACTGCAGCCCAGGAGCGTGAGGCTGGGAACGGGGCGGGGAGGAGGCACTTCCGGGACCCATAAAGTTGTTGTTGAAACGAGGCAGTCCTTCAGGTGAAACGTCCCCCAGCAACCCTGAGTCCTTCGAGACAAGAGTTCCACCACACCTGTCTTCCTCAAGTGAAAAGGTTCCGGAAGAGCGCTGATGGGTGGAAGCATTTTGTAGAACTGCCTCAAGTTGCTGCTTTCCCAGAAGGGAGACGGGTAATGGCTCCCCAACCTGCACCCCCGCAGGCAAGCGGCCCACGGAATATGTGCCCAGGTGCAATGAACGGATGCGGGAGGTGAGGCCAGAGTAGAATGTTCCTGGGATCTTGCCACTGTCTCGATACCTGGGCAGTGGCTCAGTTTATCCCATTCCTAAAATTGGGGTACATACTTCACAGTGGGGCTGCAAGGATTAAATGCGTGCACACTATCCCGTACTGTGCCTCTAGCGCAGTGCTTCGTTTATTATTTTATTTATTTATTTTTAAATTTTAAATATTTTTAGAGACGGGGGTTTCATCATCTTGGCCAGGCTGGTCTCGAACTCCTGACCTCAGGTGATCCTCCCGCCTCGGCCTCCCAAAGTGCTGGGATTACAGACGTGAGCCACCACGCCTGGCCGCGCAGTGGTTCTTAAGGCCTGGTCCTCTGACCTGCATCAGAATTGCCTTCAGGACTATCTGTGGCGCGTTATAAGTCTCTGGGTTGGGCTGCACCAACCACTCCTGTAATCCTAGCACTTGGGAGGGCCGAGGCGGGTGGGTCGCTTGAGGCCAGTAATTGGAGACCAGCCTGGGCAAAATGGCGAAACTCCTTCTGTATAAAAAATATATATACAAAAATGGCCGGGGACGTTGGCTCACGCCTGTAATCCAGCACTTTGGGAGGCTGAGGCGGGTGGATCACCTGGTCGGGAGTTCAAGACCAACCTGACCAACATGAAGAAACCCCGAGTCTCTACTAAAAATACAAATTAAATTAGCTGGGCGTGGTAGTGCATGCCTGCTACTCAGAAGGCTGAGGCAGGAGAATCCCTTGAACCTGGGAGGCGGAGGTTGTGGTGAGCCAAGATTGTGCCATTGCACTCCAGCCTGGACATAAAATCGAGAGTGCATCCCCCTGCCAAAAAAGGGAAAAAAAATACAAAAATTAGCTGGGATGATGGCCCACGCCTGTGGTCCCAGCTACTCGGAGGCTGAGGTAGGGGAATCCCTTGAGCCATGACCATGCCATTGCCCTCGAGCCTGGGTGACAGAGCAAGAAAAAAACAAACCAAAAAAATAAAAAAACCTCTGGGCTTCTCTCAGACCTAGCTGCTTTTTAGAAAGTTCCCAAGTAGTTCTGATGCACACTGACATTTAAGAACCCCTAGGGCCGGGCACAGTGGCTCACTCCTGCAATCCCCTTCCAATCACTTTGGAAGGCGGAGGTGGGAGAATCACTTGAGCCCAGGCGGTCAGTACCAGCCTGGACAACATAGTGAAACCATCCCCTCTCTATTATCTAAAAAAAAAAAAGGACAGATTCAGCAGAGTTTAAGTGACTAATGGAATGTGCTGAGTGAGGGGATGGGTGGAAATGTGAAGGATAACTCTAGAGGTTCTCTTTTCTTCCTTTTTTTTTTTTTTTTGAGACAGAGTCTTGCTCTTGTTGCCCAGGCTGGAGTACAGTGGCACGATCTTGGCTCCTTGCAACTTCCGCCTCCCAGGTTCAAGCCTGCCTCAGCCTCCTGAGTAGCTAGGACTACAGGTACCTGCCACCACACCCAGCTAATTTTTGTATTTTTAGAAGAGACAGGGTTTCACCATATTGGCCAGACTGGTCTCCAACTCCTAACCTTTCAATCTACCTGCCTCCCAAAGTGCTGGGATTACAGGCGTGAGCCATCTGGCCTTTTTTTTTTTTTTTTTTTTTTTTTTTTTTTTCTGAAAAAAGGTCTTGCTCTGTCATCCAGGCTGGAGGGCAGTGGTGCTGTCTTTGGCTCACTGCAGCCTCTACCTCCTGGGCTCAAGGGATCCCCCCACCTCAGCCTACTGACCTTCTCTCCAGGGTTTGACTTGGATAAAAGTGCAGCTGTGCACAAAGATGAGGAGCTCATGAGGACAGAGAACGATCTGGACTTCAGATTAGGACACAGAGTTGGAATGCAGGAAAAGGGGAAAAAGACTTTCTCAAGTATCAAAGTAGCCCTTGAAACATTACTTATGATAGGCTGTTGGAGGAAGGTTGGAATGGAAAAACTCACTGGTTTACTTGTTCTTTGCCAGGGCTCCTTTTTCATATGGCCTGTGAGCTAGAATGGTTTTCTCATTCGTAAATAGTTTTTTAAAAAATAACATTTCATGACACCTGAAAATCAAATGCAATTCATATTCCATTGTCCATAAGTTTTATTGAAACACAGTCACACCCATTTTTAACATATGATCTATATGCTTTTACTCTATAAGAGCAGAGTTGAGGCTGGGCATGGTGGCTCATGCCTGTAATCCCAGCACTTTGGGAGGCCAAGGCGGGCAGACCACCTGAGGTCAGGAGTTTGAGACCAGCCCGGCTAACATGACGAAACCCCATCTCTACTAAAAATACAAAAATTAGCCAAGTGTGGTGGCAGGCACCTGTAATCCCAGCTACTCGGGAGGCTGAGGCAGGAGAATCACTTGAACCCGGGAGGTGGAGGTTGCAGTGAACCGAGATTGCACCACTGCACTCCAGCCTGGGCGACAAGAGTGAAACTTCGTCTCAAAAAAAAAAAGAGCAGCTTTGAGTAGCTACCACAGAGACGTCATGGTCATCCAAACCTAAAACATTTCCTATCTGATATTTTACAGAAAATGTTTGCTGACCTCTGAATCAATGGGATGTCCAAAGACCATTTCAAAATACCTGAAGATTTCAGCCTGTGAAGCTATCATCTTAAGAAAATGAAAAAAGGGGCTGGGCAGTGTGGCTCATGCCTATAATCCCAGCACTTTGGGAGGCCGAGCAAGGCAGGCGGATCATGAGGTCAAGAGATCAATACCATCTTAGCCAACATGGCAAAAACCCGTCTGTACTAAAAATACCCAAAAAATTAGCTGGGCATGGTGGCGCATGCCTGTAGTCCCAGCTATTCGGGAGGCTGAGGCAGAAGAATCACTTGAACCCAGAAGGCGGAGGTTGCAGTGAGCTGAGATTGTGCCACTGCACTCCAGCCTGGCGACAGGGCGACTTCATCTCAAAAAACAAAAACAAAATGAAAAGGTATAGATTGAGGTCTACTCCAAGAAGTCTATAAACATTTTTAAAAGTTGGAGAATAGGCCGGGTGGGTGGCTCACACTTGTAATCCCAGCGCTTTAGGAGACTGAGATGGGTGGATCAGAAGGTCAAGAGATCGAGACCATCCTGGCCAACATGGTGAAACCCTGTCTCTATTAAAAATACAAAAAAGCCAGGCACGGTGGCTCACGCTTGTAATCCTGTAGCACTTTGAGAGGCCGAGGTGGGTGGATCACCTGAGGTCAGGAGTTCAAGACCAGCCTGGCCATCATGGTGAAACCCCATCTTTTTTTTGTATTTTTGTATTTTTTTTTTTTTTTTTTTGAGATGGAGTTTCGCTCTTGTTACCCAGACTGGAGTGCAATGGCACGATCTCGGCTCACTGCAACCTCCGCCTTCTGGGTTCAAGCAATTCTCCTGCCTCAGCCTCCCAAGTAGCTGGGACTACAGGCGCGCACCACCATGCCCAGCTAATTTTTGCATTTTTAGTAGAGACGGTGTTTCACCTTGTTGACCAGGATGGTCTCGATCTCTTGACCTTGTGATCCACCTGCTTCGGCCTCCCAAAGTGCTGGGATTATAGGCATGAGCCACCGAGCCCGGCCGAAACCCCATCTTTAAAAGAAAAAAAAAATTAGCTGGGCATGGTAGCGCTCGCCTGTAGTCCCTGCTACTCGGGAGGCTGAGGCAGGAGAATTGCTTGAACCTAGGAGGCAGAGGTTGCAGTGAGCCGAGAACGCACCATTGCCTTCCAGCCTGGCACCTGGAGACAGAGCAAGACACTGTCTCAAAAAAAAAAAAGTTGGAGAATAATGTTAAGAAAAATCATCCCAAACTTGGAAATCCAAGAGCGTAGCGTGTCCTTTCAATGTCACACTGGGTCATTGTTTCGGAAGCCCACCCAAGGATTATTTCCCCACAGGAATGCACAGTTGTTTGACTTTGCTGCTTCCTAGTAAGGTAAACAGACTCTGAAATGACAAGGAGATATAGTGCAGGAGAGATGAAAAACATGTATATACAGTAGGAAAACTAACCTCAAAGGGTATAATTTTTGTCATGTAGGACATCCAGTGCATTTTGCATCTAACCTACTAATCATGTGCTAAACATTCCTCTTTATTTTATTTTATTTATTTATTTTCGGACTTGCTCAGTCACCCAGGCTGGAGTACAATGGCACAATCTCAGCTCACTACAACCTCTGCCTCCCAGGTTCAAGCGATTCTCCTGCCTCAACCTCCCAAGTAGCTGGATTACAGGCGCACAGCACCGTGTCTGGCTACTTTTTAGTATTTTTAGTAGAGATGGAGTTTCACTATGTTGGCGAGGCTGGTCTTGAACTCCTGACCTCAGGTGATCCACCCACCTTGGCCTCCCAAAGTGCTGGCATTACAGGTATGAGCCACCGTGCCCAGCCTAACATTCCTCTTTAAATGCCTGTCCTGTCCGGCTATTCATGTGCATCACCACCTTATCAAATGGGAATCCCTCACTGATGAGTTAAAGATCTTTTTTTTTTGAGACAAGGTCTCACTGTGCCCCCACGCTGGACTGTAATGGTGCAAGCAGGGCTGGAATTCCTAGGATCAAGTGATCCTCCCGCCTCAGCCTCCCAAGTAGCTGGGACTATAGGCACAGGCCACCACACCCAGCAAATTTCATTTTTTTAAATTTTGTTGTAGAGAGAGGCCGGGCATAGTGGCTCATGCCTGTAATCCCAGCACTTTGGGAGGCCAAGGCAGGTGAATCATGAGGTCAAGAGATAGAGACCAGCAGGGCGCGGTGGCTTACGCCTATAATTCCAGCACTTTGGGAGGCCGAGGCAGGTGGATCACAAGGTCAAGAGATCGAGACCATCCTGGTCAACATGGTGAAACCCCATCTCTACTAAAAATACAAAAATCAGCTGGGCATGGTGGTGCGTGCCTGTAGTCCCAGCTACTTGGGAGGCTGAGGCAGAAGAATTGCTTGAACCCAGGAGGGGGAGGCTGCGGTGAGCCGAGATCGCACCATTGCACTCCAGCCTGGTTAACAAAAAGCAAAACTCTGTCTCAAAAAAAAAAAAATGAGAGATAGAGACCATACTGGCCAGTACAGTGTGACCCCGTCTCTACTAATACAAAAATTAGCCAGACATGGTGGCGTGCACCTGTAGTCCCAGCTCCTCAGGAGGCTGAGGCAGGGAAATTGGGGAGGCAGGGGTTGCAGTGAGCCAAGCTCAGGCCATTGCACTGCAGCCTGGTGACAGCGAGACACCGTCTCAAAAAAAAAAAAATTTAGTAAAGAGAGAAGGTCTCACTATGTTGCCCAGGCTGGTCTCAAACTCCTGAGCTCAACTGATCCTCTCACCTTAGCCTCCCAAAATGCTGGGATTACAGGCATGAGCCACTGCACCTGGCCCAATAAATTTAGTTATGTGTTCATTCTATATTTAGACATAGTTTTTAACTTTTTGAAAGTACGCTTTGACAAATCATATGGTATTTTTTAAAATGCATTAAACTTATGTATATATATGTGTGGGTGTGAGACCCCGCAGGAGACCCTTTAAGTGCCGAGGCGAGGGTCTGAAGCCTCAGCCTGTTCCCATATAAATATTGAACTAGAAAAGAATTAAGAGTTATAGTTACATAGTTATTCCTATAATCATAATCACATATTCATATGTAATCACAGACATGCATATACTCAATATAACCTTTTAATTTTACTAAGGATTCTCAGGTCATGAAGTGTGGAAATGAAGTGCCATTGGAAAGGCGAGTTGGTTTAAGTCCTCTGTCACGCCCTCATAAGAGCTGCTGGAGTGCCAGTGCTGGGAACGCGTCCGCTGTTTAGCCAGTTAGGGAAGGAGATGTCCAAGATATCCCCTTCCCAGGGGAGTGAGGAGAAAACTCCGCTCCTCCAAGCTCTTGCGGTAGACCTGACAGCTGTCAGGGAGGCCCACAGACATCCAGGGGCTTGTCTCTATGTGATGCTGCGCTTCAGCGGTCACGTTCCATGTCCACTCTCATGTTCCGCTTCTGCACCTGGTTCCTCTTTTTCTTCAAAGATAACAATCAGTAATAGTAACATAAATCTTAGTGTCCATGTTATTTCCTGACGAGTATGGGAAAAGTGCTGACACATTAGGTTTTCTCCTCACCTCGGCTACTTGAAAGTCCTGGGCCCCTCTCTCCAAGACGTAATGTACTTGACCCTATCACTGATCACCAATGCCTGGCCTACCTACCCTGCTCCCTGCTTTGTACTCAGTAAAAGTCAGAGCGTCCAAGCACTCGAGGCCACTGCCGGACTCCATGCTGGCTGGCAGTGGACCCCTGGGCCCAAACTCTTTTTCTCTTTCTTGGTGTCTTGTGTCTTTTATTTCCACGGTTTCTCGTTTCCACACCAGTAGAGAGGGGCTCACAGGACCCAGTAGGGCTGGACCCTACATATATGTACATCTAGATTTATGAAGTTACCATTACCATTACACAAAGAAGGGACTTAAAAGATGCCATCTCACCAAAGTGGTGAAGGGGTTACCTCAGTGGTGGGGATGCAGCGGAAAGAACGTTACATTTTCCTCTGATGCTTGTGTATTATGCAAGTATTTTACAAGAACATATTCATATATATATGCACTTTTTTTTTTTTTAAGACAGAGTTTCGCTCTTGTTACCCAGGCTGGGGTGCAATGGCGAGATCTCGGCTCACTGCAACCTCCGCCTCCCAGGTTCAAGCGATTCTCCTGCCTCAGCCTCCCGAATAGCTGAGATTACAGACATGTGCCACCATGCCAGGCTAATTTTGTATTTTTAGTAGAGATGTTGGTCAGGCATGTCTTGAACTCCTAACCTCAGGTGATCCACCCACCTCGGAATCCCAAAGTGCTGGGATTACTGGGTGAGCCACCTCGCACAGCCTAACATGTTGGTCAGGATGGTCTTGAACTCCTGACCTCAGGTGATCCACCTGCCTCAGCCTCCCAAAGTGCTGGGATTACAGACATGAGCCACCGCACCTGGCCCATATTAATATATTACATGTATAATTTTTTTTTAAATTAGGAGCTAGGGACTACTTACCATTGCACTCAGCAATTTTTTTTTTTAAGAGATGCAGTCTTGCCATCTCCAAAGCTGGTCTTGAACTACTGGCCCAAATCAGTCCTCCCACCTGGGCCTCTGAAAGTGCTGGGGTTGTAGGCGTGAGCTACCATGCCCAGCCTAGTTCTCATCTCTTACATGCATGGAGGAAATTTTTTCTTGCATCTGACCCTGCTCACTCAGCACAGCCTAAGGTAGTATCGGATCTTTATTTCAGTACTGACTCTGTCCCTTACTGGCTATGACAGCTTGAGGAAGCCCATCCCTCCCTCCGCCTCAGACGTCTAAGTGTCAAATAGGATTTATCCCACCAGCCCCAGCTGTCTCATGGGATTCTTGGACTGATGGAGGTGAAAGTGCTCCAAGCACCTGTAGGTGGCAGAGGGGAAAACTGCTCAGCATCAGGTCCTGTAAGAACATCTAGGGAGAATGGAAAAGCCAGGTGCCCTCTGGACCACACCTGGGGAGGGCATGGGGAAGGTCCCAGAACAGCTCTGAAGAATCGGTTGACCCTTCCCTTCTCATAATTCCTCTCCACCAGAGAGTTGAGAAAATACTTGGAACTTGGGATCCAGCCCAGGCCTCCCCTTACCTGGGAATGCCTTCCAGCTCTACAGCTGGGTCCTAATCTCTCATTTGCCTAAGACTTCTGTGGCTCTATACCATGCCCCTCAACTTTTTTTTTTTTTAAGACAGAGTCTTACTCTGTTGCCCAGGCTGGCATGCAGTAGTACAATCTCAGCTCACTGCAACCTCTGCCTTCCGGGTTCAAGAAATTCTCCTGCCTCAGCCTCCCAAGTAGCTGGGATTACTGGCACCCACTGCCATGCCTGGGTAATTTTTTTTTTTTGTATTTATAGTAGAGACAGGGTTTCGCCATCTTGGCCAGGTTGGTCTCAAACTCCTGACCTCAGGTGATCCACCCACCTTGGCCTCCCAAAGTGCTGGGATTACAGGCGTGAGCCATCATGCCCAGCCGCTCCTCAACTTTTCTGAGCCCCTGTTCTTCATCTATAGACTGCGCTCACACTGTCTCCGTTGTGGGAAAGTTGAGATGTGCACAAAATCTAGCGTGAGGACAGGACAACTAGGGTTGCTGCCCCTTCGCCATCGCCACGGGCCCCCCCCGGTCTCACAATTCAAAGCACCTCCTACCACTGTGAAGGAGTCCTGCATTGGCTGAAATCAGCCTGTGTTCTAGAATCTTGTCCCCTCTGCTGTCCTTCTGGCTCTAGAATCCCACTGCCACTCCAGGCCAGGCACCCTAGAATCAAAGGCGCTGCTGCTTTTCCTGGGCAGGGCCTGCTTGCTCCAGCTCTCAAGTCTGACTTGCATGTATACTGTGGGCAAGATGCGGCTGCGGGACCGCATCGCCACATTCTTCTTCCCAAAAGGCATGGTGCTCACCACGGCTGCACTGATGCTCTTCTTCCTACACCTGGGCATCTTCATCAGCGACACGCACAACTTCTGCATCACCTACCACTACGACCGCATGAGCTTCCACTACACAGTCGTCCTGATGGTAAGCTCAGGGCAGGGACTCAAGGGCTGGCTGCGGGAGGCCCGAGGGGCTGATGGAAACCCACTGTTGTGTCAGGGGGCCACTCTCCCACTGGATGGGCCTATAGTTCTCCCAGGTGATCAGCATCTGCTGGGCCGCCACGGGGTCACTCTACGCCGAGATGACAAAAAACAAGTACACCTGCTGCTCTGCCATGACCATCCTGAGTGAGTGGCAGGAGCAGGAGGGTGGCAAGGGGGAGCAGGGAGTAGGCAGGGAAGGGTACTGGGGCTGATGGGAGCTCTGTCCCCCACCCAGTCCTCAATGGAGCCATGTTCTTCAGTCGCCTGTCCTTGGAGTTTCTGGCCATTGAGTACCGGGAGGAGAACCACTGAGGCCTGGGGGGTTGAACAGGGCTGAGGAGGGGAAGGAAAAAGCTGCCTCGGGTGTTTTAATAAAGTTGCTGTTTATTGCCACCTGCCAACTCCTTCATGGGGTGAGGGGTGGGAGGCTGGAGACCCAGGGGAGGGCAAGTCAAGACAAATGCTTGACTCACGGGGACTCCAGGCCCGGCCTGCAACCACTCTGGTAAGACTCAGCTTTGGGCCTGGGGTCTTAGTGTCTTAGGCTTGAGGGAGAGAAGCAGTGAAGAGGTGCCCCCAGCCTCCCCACCACCCCGCCTCTCCTCCACCGGAACAAGTCCTAGGCTGACCTAGCCACAAGCAACTGGACTCAGGAGGGGCCCACGCGGATGTGAGGGTTCATGAGCGGGTCCAGGTTGGGATCGCTGTCAGCTGCAGCCCGGCCTAGGCGAGACATGAGGGCAAGGAGGGCCAGGAAGCCCAGCAGCCCCAAGAGCAGCAGCAGCCCCGCCCGCTGGAGCAGGGTCAGCGGCCGCTTCCGAGACCCGGCCCGGCTCCTGGGGGATGAGGGGAAAATCAGGTCAGGCCCCAGCCCCCGGCGGCCCCCACGGCATGGAGAGAAGCCCTGGTCACCACCCATTCCTGAGCCTCTGCCTCCTCATCTGTGCCTCAGGGATGATCACTCCTGTACCTGCCACCGAAGGGTGCTATTGTACAGCTCAGACCAGCGGAAGCACAGGGCTGTGTTCCAAAAACCAAAATGTGTCAGGCATCAGGCAGAGTTAGAAAGATTAGGGGGTGTCAGATCGGGAAGGGGCCTCAATGAGCCTGAATCCAAACCTCCTGTGTGGGAGGCACAGAGACAGCCCCAGAGAGAAACAAACCACAGCTTTTGCTGTGCAGCCAAGGCCTCTCTGCACAGCACCAGGTACTGTTCCTTTCCAGACCAAGTCCCTTTTGTCATGAAACTGTCCCTCCCAAGGCCTCTGGCTCCTACTCCCTCTCTGCCCCTTCCTGGCACTCTGCCCTGCCTGACCCTCTGTACCTTAGCAGCTGGGCCAGCCAACCCAAGGCAGGCCGGCGTCGGTACTTGTCATCGTCACAGTCTCCGTGGAGGCCTGGTGTCCGGTCATCATCCCGTGTGTCATACACCTTCCTTGGGGCTATAGGGTAGAGCCACTAGCATCAGTAGATTCAGGAAAACTGGCCTCTTTGCAAGGGGCTGGGGGGTCACCTGCCTTCCTCAGTCTGGCAGAGCATCTCAGAGTTGTGAGGAAGTAATGGCAGGGCCTGGATTGAGAAAGGTTCCTCCAGGTGGGTCTCTGGATCCTCAAGCTCCCCCCACACAAACCACTACCCCCTTTTTTATCCTTCTGTGACCTGGATAACTCCCAGGCTCACCGTGAGTTGAGGGCTCAGGATTGGCCATGTGGATCACTGTGTGCTGTTCGGGCCGGCCTGGGGAAGCCGGGGGACGGGGGGCCTGGCTGTAGAAGGCTGGGGCAGCAGAGGCGCTGTCTACCTCCTCTGGTCCAGGGCTACTGCTGGCTGTGGGTGGGAAGAGAGCTGTCAGCAGAAGCGGGTAGAGCTGAGGGGTAGAGCATTTGACTGCAGACCAAGAGAGCTGTCAGCGGAGCAGGGAGGCTAAAGCTCAAACAGCCGGTGGAAGCCACCACTTACCATTAAAGCTGGACCAGTCAGAGAAGTTGGAGGTGTTGAGGGGCTCAGGCTCTGGGCTCACCACCTCATCGATCTGGAGGAAGGAATCTGGGTCACCAGGCTGCCTAGTACTGTCCCCACCCACCCATCTAGCTCAGGTGGGGCCCAGGGCAGATGGATGGTCAGAGGGACTCTCACCAGAGGGAGGCCCAGTCCTGCCCGGGCCCAGTTGACTGTGGCCAGCTTCTCTCTCAGTGTGGAGGCTACAGGGCCAGCCAGGTTGCTTGGGGGGAAGATGGGGCCATTGCAGCTGGGGCACTGGTAGCCGGCAGGTGCCGTGTTTCGGGGTAGCTGGGCAGCACGTTCATTGAGGCAGGCCCAGTGAAAGAGATCTTAGGGCCCATGAGACAGAGGAGAAGAGACATGAGGAAGAGGGCACTTAGGGCTCCTAGCCTAGCATCAGCCCCCAGACCACTGTAGGGACATATGAACACATATATGTATACCAGAGTCTTCTCCTCCCCCTTCCCCCCCCCTCCCCTAAAGGTCCGTTTCATCAGTGTTCCCTAAAACGTCAGTCTTCTTGGCTACCACCATCTAAGTTCAGGCAGCTGCTACCAATCTGTCCAGTTCACAGGGGTGAGGTTGGGTGGCAAGAAAATGTCACCTCCCGTTGAAGTGAGTCCTCTCTGGGCCTGCACTCATCATACTCTTTGGGCTAATGGCTAATAATGAACAGTTTCCAAAAAGTTCCTCGATATACACACAGGAACATATATATACGTTCATATCCATGTGCACAAATGTACATGTGCTTATAAGCACATACTCAAACATAAGTGGCATTCCCTGTTATCTAGACTATGGGCACCATAGCCCTCACACATACACATCTATATACTCACAGGTTTGCTCACACTCAGGCACCCTCAACCATGCATTCTCTTGCACTCCCACAACATACCTGTATTCATATGTTCACATATGTACATTTACCCATTCACTCACCCCCAAGTACTAATCAACACACTAACACTCATTTGAACACACCATGTTCACTAAATGCCTGCAAGCACACACTTGCAACACACAAGGAGAAACACATAAAGAGCTGTCTCTTGCATGTGCTCCTTCAAAAATGAGCTGTCAGGCGCAGTGGCTCCTGACTATAATCCCAGCACTTTGGGAGGCTGAGGCGGGTGGATCACCTGAGGTTGGGAATTCGAGACCAACCTGACCAACAAGGAGAAACCCTGTCTCTACTAAAAACACAATATTAGCTGGGCTTGGTGACGTATGCCTATAATCCCAGCTACTCAGGAGGCCGAGGAAAGAGAATCGCTTGAACCTGGGAGGCAGAGGTTGTGGTGAGCCCAGATGATGCCACTGCACTCCAGCCTGGACATCAAGAGTGAAACTGTCTCAGAAAAAACCCAAAAAATGAAAACAAAAACTGGAGCTAAGGCTCTTACTCCAGATTCAGGTCAAAGTCATGACACATATGTCTGCTGACTTCTTTTAGCTAACTTTAATGTGGGAAACTCACTTCCTCTCTGTTTAGCCCTGGAATCAGTGTTGGATCCTAAATATCCGAAACCTTGAGAGCTACATGCTGGTCTGGCTAGCTAATAGTCACAGCCACCACCATACCCACAAGCTTGACTGGCTCTCGCTCAACCCTCCAGATTGGCAGTGTTTTAATTTTTAGGAAAGAGGAACTAGGAGCTTTACTATTTTTTTTTTTTTTTTGAGACAGAGTTTTGCTCTTGATACCCAGGCTGGAGTGCAATGGCAATCTTGGCTCACCACAACCTCCGCCTCCTGGGTTCAGGCAATTCTCCTGCCTCAGCCTCCTGAGTAGCTGGGATTACAGGCACGCGCCACCGTGCCCAGCTACTTTTTGTATTTTTAGTAGAGACGGGGTTTCACCGTGTTGACCAGGATGGTCTCGATATCTTGACCTCGGGATCCACCCACCTCGGCCTCCCAAAGTGTTGGGATTACAGGCATGAGCCACCGCGCCCGGCCTGGAGCTTTACTTTTTAGGAAAGACAGTGAGGCCTAGAAAGGAAGAACAACTTGCCTGAACTTACAGAGCAGGTAAGGAACTTTAACAGAACTAGAATCTGGGCTCTGAGACTTGGGGGAATCACTGTCCTGCTGCTTGAGACGGGCCTGGAAACCAGTCACCAAGCTGGCCCCTGAGGCTGGCCTGATCCCCCCAAGATGCCAGGGCCTCACCATAGCAGACAAGGCGGGTCGTCTCCCGGCTGGCCAGGGGCATGTTGCACAGGCGGCAATTGGGGTTGTAGTCGCTATCCTGGAGCCACTGCAGGTAGGACTGGACGATGCACTGGAGTGGGAGAGAGATGTCACAACTGGTGCTGGTGCTGCTCGGCCTATCACCCCAAGGTCCAACAGCCTCTTTTTCTCTAGTCACAGAGGAGACTCATCCTTTCATTTGTTCAATCAATAAACATTTATTGAGCACATACTGTGTGCCAGACTCTCTCTTGGGGCCAGGGGATATATCAGAGAACAAAATAAACCAAGTCCTTGCCCTCGTGGGGCTTACATTCTAGCGCGGGGCCCCTCATGGATTTGGAGGAAGCCAATACCGCCTGCCCACCCAGTGCCCTGCTCAACCGCTCCCCCTGAAGGCCCCACCTTGGCGTGATTGGCTACCAGGCAGTGTTCGCAGACGTTGACCCGATGTTCGAAGCAGAATAGGTTGGTCACCTTTCTCTTGGGGCACTTACAAAGCCCCATGATCGATCCTGGGAAAGGGAGTTGGTAGGAAGCCAGGTTCTGGTGGCCGCCACTACGCTCTTACCAGCCCAGTTTCCACTTAACTCCCCAACACCTCTCATATTCGCCCCGACCCCAGATTCCTGCTCACTGCCCTTCCTTAGGCGGGAAAACATTCCCAGCATAAGTCCCGCCTCCGGCGACCCCTCAATCCTTCTGGTTTCCGCCCCCGGCCAGGTCCCTCCATCAGCGACTCCCCAATACCACCGGCCCCGCCCCCAAGGCCCCTCCTGAGCCCCACCCCCTCCAAGCCCCGCCCCTTCTCTACAGACCCCAGTCTCTGTGTTTACTGATCGGCCTCTGCACCAGTTCCGAAGGGCGCTAGCGATGATTCGAGGAGCGGTAGGGCAGGGACCACGCTCCCCGAGGCTCCTGCTCCGCTCCCTTCAGCCTCGGCCGTCTCGATTACCCCTCCGCTGCCACGTCTCTTCCGGGTGCGGCGCGCGCTGATGACGCCATCGCACCACTGGGCCACGCCTCTATGACGCTAGACGTGAAGACGGGTGGAAAAGACTGGGGCATGATCCAGGCGCTGCGGACCTCTCGCTTACGTCACTTCCGCTTCCTTCCCCGCAGGGCGGGTAATTCGAAAGTTTCTTGCAGCGAGTGGCCTTCCCG